TTTTTTTTCTGCTTTTAAATAGCTTATAAATGCGTGCGTATAATACTTTCACTTTCAGTTTTGCGGGAGTTGCCAATTTGATGTCAATTGTTTGAATGGACGGAAAGGAAACTACAAAAAAAAATCCCTGTTATTAAACAAAACATAACTTTTATTTACATAACGAATAAAACACAACACTGCTACAGGCTGAAAAAACTGTGTAAGTTGGAACCATACAAATAACAACCATAAACGCCTATGTTATATATTAACAGCTAGTCCTTATGAACAATCCGTTTATAAAATACATTATTAACGAATTTAGGCTATTGAAGAATAAACCGAATAGGAAATATGATCCTTGCATAATGATCACAACTAAACAAGCGAGCACTCATATTTAAACTATATGAAAAAAAATTAAGAATTGGAACATTATGTAAAAAATCAAAGGGCAGGCTAAATAAAAGCGCCTCGTCAGAGCTAAACATCACCGCACATGTGTCAGTTTACAGCTTCTGGAAAGATCAGACAACCTATACAGATCACACAATTTTAATAAACAACATGTAAATGTATAAATATTTCGATAAGTATTGTTATGGAATATTTATAACTAAATGATCTTGCTTTTTGGTTTTATCGATACAGCTTTCTCTCTTACAAGCGGCAGTTACAGGCGCAGCATAAGGGCGTCTCACACTGTCAGTGGCGGAATACACACAGCACTGCCAAGACGTTTTATTTTTATTTTATTTGTTGCAGATTTGCACGTTGTTCCTTTTAAAAAAAACCTTTTATTTTTTAATTCTCTCAAGTTAATGTTGTCTATCGAGTAACTATCGAGTCCCTCGGATTGGAGTTCAGTGCGCATTAAGACTATTGACCAACCGCCCTGTAAGTTTAAACACTACAGGTCCACAGCTCTGGTGTGGTATGAATTACACGTTTTAAATGACAGCGAGACATGCTACGTTTAGTTTTTATTGTAAAATATACATTATAACCCAGTACACGGTAAAATAATATGTTTTGAATGGCTTGTCTATTGACGGCGTATAGCCGTTAATTAAATATGCTGAGCATATTTTCATTAAAATTAAAACACATTAATACAAATTAGCCACCCTTTGATTTTTTTTCGTTTACGCATATTTTTATCAAACGAAAAATGCTATGAATTGTTAATTTTAGTTTTCATTTTATTAGAGTTAATAGGCCTATAATTTATAGGCTACACAACTCGTATCTTAGGCTCCAATTGCGTTTTTACAGATATCCTACCAATAGACTTTTTTTTTGGCTCAAAGACATTTATGCCTATTAATTTCAGAGGTGCATTTTGACAGATTTCGTAAAGGCTTCAGCTATTCTACCTGTCAGCTGCACCTGCCTAAGTTTTGCAACTTGTGTTGTGGCTCGATGTCTGAATGAGAGAGAGAGAGAGAGAGAGAGAGAGAGAGAGAGAAATCAGTCCTCAGATTCGATGTGTGGCCGCACGTCTCAGTTACTTTATTGCAATTTTTAATATTGGCTCATCTAAATAAACTTTTCATATATTAAAAGCCGAAATATTGCCAGACAGAAAAAGCAACTTTCGGTTTTTGAAGAGAGCGGCCTCAGTTATAAAAGATGCGCGCACACACAGGATTCGATCTTTTTGGCCTAGACATTATGAATTTTTTTTACATTAAACACATAATCAAGTGGAAATAAGAACAGCTGAACTTCGGAAAAAGTCCTCACGTTACCACAATGTTTCTCTGCAGTTGGATTGTCAATGGCGCAGCATTAAAAAAAAAGATATTTATTATTAAACATTGTGAGATGATGGTCGCGTGATTTTTTTTAAAATGAGAGTATGCGTTGCGTATTTATGGCCATTGATCTATCCGCGACCCACCAATAGTTAAACATGAAGGTGCGTGTATAAATTAGTTATGTTTCCAGACACTGCCACCTTTGTCAGGCAAAGTTTGCAGATTGCCTCATTAACGTCGTCAGGTTCTCTTATGCATTTGGTTTGAACCCAAAATTTTGCCAAACATGCGCTTTTGCAATGCGTTTTGACAATAAATCGTCCGCCATCCTCTTTCTGTAAATTCGACTCCTCTTTTCTCCTCACGTGGTAAATGAAATATAAAAAAACGAATACCTAAAAAAAACAAATGTGGGGACGGTGTCACGGTAGAAAAGTGATGTCACCGGTGTTGCGTCTTAACACCGGTATCACCGTCAACACCGTCTATCGTGGCAAGCCTAGCTGCGGGAAAAAAAAAATCAGGTTCACGGATATTGATCTGTCATTTCTCTAGATTCACAGAATTCACTCACTGCTGAAAGCGGCGGATTGGTTTTTATTAAGTGCCATTTTGTGTGCTCGTGAATCATCTTTTGAGTGTAGACGCCATGTAAATAAAAGATTAATTGTGTAAATTAGAGAGCTTTATAAATTATAACGGATCTTTGTGAGATCTCTATGAACTAAGATTAGTGACGCTTTTTAGTGATAATAAGAGGAGCGTGCTTTGCACTTTCCAGGCTATAATCCATTCAGAATTTGTATGAAACTTTCGTTTTCGGCACATATACCTGATATGTTTTGGGAATGACATCTGCATATTTACGCTGGGTTTATTCTCGAAATAACGGTGAAGCAATAGACGGGACAAAAATATATATCCCCCTTCTCCTTAAACAACTTAGTGTTTCAGCTATGAAATAGTTCAGTTTTGTATGTAGCCTAATGGCAAAGTGTTTATATTTAGTTTCGTTTTTTATTCAGCTTATTTAGAAAAACGTTTGGAGCATTTTTTATTCGTTAAAAATAAGTTTTTTTTAACGAACAGCGCCCAGCGGAAGACCATCATTGTCTGTTTGATCAGTTTGCCTTCTCAGATCATCACGACTTGCCTAAAATAAAAGATATAAAACAGTTCAAGTATAAAACAATGGTAGCTTAAACGTTAAAGAATGTGTGCTATTAGGCGCATAGTTTGCTTATAAAAAGCTTGCAGGACATCGAGGCGCCAGAGCAATCACTTGCATTTTTTCAGTGGGAGCAATTTAAAGTTATCTGTCATTTTTGCTCACAGAGTACGAGTAATACATCAAAAAACGTTACAGCGTTTTTATAAAATAAAGAAAACCAAAATTATGCGCTTTCTGTCGTCTGGGTTTTGAACAGGAGCGCTTAACAAAATGAAGCAAAATGTATATGCCTCACAGACATAATAAATATATTTATAGAAAGCTTTAAATTATTACTTAACGAAATAAAACAAATCGAAAACAAAAAAACTCCTTCATGTAATCCGTAAAGATGAATTTCTTTCTAAAGGCGAGTCCAAGAGGAGATTGCCAGTCAGGATCTTTGCGACACTGACTCAGAATAAGTTTATTAATAAATAATTAAGATATGTCCTTACTCTTCCTCGACACATTCATTGTTATTTGTTTTTGCCGGTGCTTGGGGCAAGTTTTAGCTTATTGTGTGCGCTTGAACGCGGATTCACAGTAGCAGTTTTAACATGGAGTGACACGACATCTGACGTACAGATGACACTGGCACATGCCACTGAGTGTAGTGACACTTCCGGTGGCACGTCCGGTTTTCCACTGTCATGTGTCACTCGCTAGTGGCATGTGTAGTGACCTGTGTCACGCAGAGTGTCGCGCTGCATGTCACTGCAGTGACATCGACACCCGGCGAAGCTTATGACATTAATTAACACGAGCAAAACCATATTTAATCATTACGCGACTTTTAACCTAATTTATCGCGTCGCAAGTTAGTTTATTTGCTGAGCTACTCCACGATGTTTTAATTTAAACGCATTTATTTTATGTATTCGTAGTCATACTTCCGTACGTAATATAGTCATTTGACAGTACATGTCAGTCAAATTTATTGTGGCATGCTTATGTATGGGAGGGGTTACACTTATCTGTTGTACTGTATATTATTGCATCCTGGCAGTTCCTTTGTTCCCTACAATATGGACTTCTCTATGTTTTTAATTAATTCATTTATTTTATTATTTAACTTATTTTCATTTTAAGGTATTTTAAATAATATCCTTTAAAAAGTTATAATAAAATGCATGTTGAAAACTCATAACATATATGCATGTAAGATAACAAGTGTCATTTGCCTAATGATTTTTAAATATTAAAGCAAAGAGACTTATAAGATTAATGTGCTTATAATGTGCTTATACTGACACCTACTGGCACATGTCACAAGATCACTGACACTGGCATGTGTCACTGACATTACTGGCATGTGTCTAAAAAGAGCCACTTGACAATAATGAAGATCAGGGTTACACATAGGCTGTTAATATATTTGGGCCCAGGGGCCCACAAGTTATGTGTTAAACGTGCGTTGCATACATAGTACCCCCACCCCTACTCACCTCAGGGGCAAGAAAAAAAAGTTCAGGCTCAGGAATTTTTTCCACTATCAGCCCTGCGCCCTATACATGGATATAACTGAGGACGCGCAAGTGCTGAGGGAGGGAAGTGTTGCGGACACTGCGCTCTCTATTCTGCCGCCCTATGCGCGGATATAACGGAGGACACGCGGGTGCTGATGGAGGTGACGCTGTCGACGCTGCCCTCTATTCTATCGTCTATGCGCGAATATATCTGAGGACGCGGGTGGTGAGGGAGGTGTTGCGGACATAACTGAGGACGTAGGTGGTAAGGGAGGTGTCGCAGACGCCGCCCTCTTTAAACTGCCGCCCTAGGCGGCCGCCTAGGTCACCTCTATGGTCGCGAATTAAAGCCCAATTAATAGTGACGTTGGCTAAATCACTGCATCGTCACATCAGCTTATTCAGAAAATGCGTTTCAATCTCCCTCGTTTCACATCAATCTTTTTTTTAAAGTCCAAAACCACCTCAAGTGAACAGACTTTTATTACTAACGTGCTTTAACGCAGAGTTCGAACCCCACAGTTATAAACGCAGCTAATAATGAATGGTGATGCTGATGCTACTTATGAATGCACTTACCATTATGATGAAGAAATAGAAGACGCACATCCATCCCAGTTTGCTCTCAATAAGCGACACAAGGTACTACAAAACAGACACGTATTTACAATTATTACAGTTTTCAAAGTACAGAAATAATAATAACTTTAAAAAGTGAGATATTTAAAGCCCAGACCACGGTCATTTTTAAGAACCGCCATATTTTCCTTATCGTTCTTTCACAAGAAAAAGTAAAAAACCTTCAAAAAAAAAAAAAAAACTCCAGCCAGGGTGAAGATTTTCAGATACTCGGTTAACAGTGTTGGCCACTGAACTGAAGTTTTGGCTTTGTGACATCAGCATGTGCGTGACGCTCCTTTCTGATTGGCCAACATGGCTGAGCACTGTCACTCGCTCTGGCTTTCTCGTGTGAGTTTTCAGCTGGAGCTGCGCAGCAGATGTTTATACGGATTTTGTGCGTTCATGGCAAACTCCCTATCATACTTGCCACATGATAGTATTCAACCTCGGTTTGCTTTGACTTTGTACTAGCGATGCTCATTTCGGTTAATTTTAATCGGCTATTAACGGTTAACTGGTCAGATTACTATTAAATTAGTACTAATTTTTTTTTAAACAAATTGACGTGTCTATTTTGTGCCTGTCTTTGCATTTTAAAATACTGATTTGTTTTAACATGCTACCAAATTATTAACACGACAAAACAAAAGAGCATCTTCACGGATCTGCGTTACGGCGTAGAAAAACAGAATAAAATAAATAAAATGAATGAAATGCATAGGCCTGCCCTAAACTATTTTCACTTGAGTGATTCATTTAGAGAACTAAACGAAAACAATGACTGAATCCTTTGTAAGAACGGGCATAGGCTGTATTTTTTCCAGTCAAACGTTTTTTTTTCCGTCAAATAAAAATAGCAGACTTCCTCAAATCACTCGCTCCACGTGTAACCCCGCCGGTCCTACACCACCCGACCCGCTCCGAGCTGGTATCGAACCGGCGACCTTCCGCATGGGAGTCGGGTGCTCTACCAAGGAGGCCAAAGACCATGGCGTCTAGCAGCTGTCGCTAGAGCACCTATAGAGGTCAGAGGAGTGAGGTTTACCTGCACAGCACTTACTAGCTGGCCTCCGTTACGCTCACCCTCTTAACCTCACTCCCATCCGGGTCACGGCACCAATGCAACCCCTCCGGTCCTACGCCACCCAACCCTCTCTGAGCTGGTTTCGAACCGGCAACCTTCCGTATGGGAGTCGGGTGCTCTACCAAGGAGGCTAAAGACCATGGCCTCTAGTGTCTGTCGCTTATCTGCACAGCACACACTAGCTGGCCTCCGTTACACACGGAGAATATGCATTTTTTTTAATGCCCCGCTGTTATTATTATATCATAAAACCTTTTTGCCTTTTTAATAGAAATCATTAATTTAAAAATTATGTCTTGATATATGGTTTCCTCTCTCTCGCGCGGTTCAAGTGCGCGCGCTGCGTGATGAAAAGACAATGACAACGTGCGCATATGTTGACTTTTTGTAAACAATTTTGTTGTTTAAATATGATATTGCATTAATGCTTTATAAGCTGTAAAATGAAAGCTAAAGCCTATTTGTTAAGTTTATGACGCAGATCCAGGAGGCGATTAGCATCAGCTTGCTATCAACTCGTCTGTATCAAACAGCAATATTCTTCCTACATTTTGCTTCTTCGGCAAATATGTCTGCAGGCACGTGTTGTCATACATTATCGTCCCGCGAGTAAACAAATATGTCTGATCGGAGCAAACGTGATTTTCCATTCCAAAAACGTGAGGCGCACCTGGCACCTTTTGACAAGGAAAAAAAAAGGCGCGGCCCTCTTTTTTTTATGTCGCTATGGAACGGCTAAATCCGCTGCGTATTGATTATGCAACAGTGCTGCCGTCTATGTTGTTACAATTGAAATATTTAATACTATTGTGATATTTAAGATTTGTTAATTCATACAGCTCTGGATAACTTGAAACAGCGAGCATATATTATAAATATCACAATAGTATATATATATATATATACTATATACTATATATATATATACTATATATATATATATACTATATATATATATATATAGTGTATATATACATATATATATATATATATATACGTACACTATATATATAGTATATATATATATATATATATATATATATATATATATATATATATACATACACTATATATATAGTATATATATATATATATATAGTATATATATATATATATACATATACATATATATATACTATATATATATATA